TTTTTTTTTTAAAAAAAAAAAAAAAAAAAAGATAAAAAAGGCAATTTTAAATGCTAAATACAGCCTAAGCAATTCTACATTACAGATACAGTCTATCACGCATTTTTCTCAGCTAACCTTGTTCGTGCCAAAGGGCCTTTTTGTTTGTAACTGTTTCTGTCGTAAAAGGAAGTTTACTTTTCCAAATCCTGATGATTCTAAAGTGTTATTATAACAGAATCTTTTGGGTTAATTCTGTTTCACTTTGATACAAAGCACCTGAGAAGGGCTTTTTCCCTTTCTAGCCTATGACAGGAGCTGAGATGGAGCCCTGTCCTGCCCCCTTTCCCGATACCTAAATTCAGAGATGTCTCCTTTCAGTGAAATATTAAGTGCTGTTGAAAAAAACACTTTCATGGAGGCACCGTTATCCCTCTTGAATGGCAAGCCCCCAGTCTAATAAATGTCATGAGATCATTTCGTTTGCTATTTAGCCTAGATATTCCTCTGCTTAGTTCCATCCTATTGTGCTTAATTATGATTTCCCTTATTGCTGGTCCTTCTGCTAATTTTGAGACCCTTTTCCAACACACAGATTAGTCCTTTAGATTTTTTTTTTTTTATAAAACAATGTTCTTTGAAGTCTTGTTGACTTTGGGGAGGGAAGTTAGATAACAAGGTGAATGTGGCGTGTTCATTGCTTTCATTAGGGAATGCGATGGGGGTATGACTGAGGAGGGGAGCAGTGGTGTCAGGCGTGCTCAGCAGCAGCAGCGTCACCAGCCAACAGCAAGATGGCCTGTGTCTGTCTATGGTTCTCGCCTCCCATTGAGGACATAAAAATTAAAAAGGGGTGATCCGTCTTTGCATCGCAATCCATACTAACTTCAATTCCCAGGAAGCATTGGACGGCTTGAGCAGCACTGTCTTTCGAGATGCACTGCCTTAGGAATGCGGGCTTTGGTTTTGGGGTGTTCTCCAGAGAGCAGAACAGGGAGTCAGGGAAGAGCCGAGTTTGTCGCTGGCTTCAGACTGTGGTGAATGTCTTTGTCCACTCCGCAGTGCTCGCTGCCTGCGAACATTCGGACAGCTGGGTACTTCCCAAAGTCTTTCCGGGACAGCCGCAGGACTGGCACTACTGAAATATCCGCTCCGAGCTGTGTGTTCACTCCTGTGGGGTATCTACACGTTACTCAAGTAGCCTTTTCTTAGGAAAGGTGGAACGCGTCAACCTGCCAGAGCTGGGTCTGGTCTCTCTGTGGACTTGGGAAAGTATTATCACACACAAGTTGCCTCACGGATGTACTTGCCTCCCCTCAACTGTCCTGTTAAAGTGGTCCACATTTCTCTTTGTCATACACTGGATAAGCAGAAGGAGAGCAAGGAGAAGACAGAGGAGTCTCTATGAATGCTTATTAACTGCTGATGGCTAGTGCTCTCTCATCTTCTTTCCTTCTCCAGATTCTATTTCCTTCCGTCCCTTGTTTGGAAAGGGGAAGGGAAGCCATCTGCCACAGTTGTCATTACTGGCCCCTGCCCTGAATCGCCTTGCCCTTAGAACACTTTCCTTCATTGTTACCAGTATAAGCCATATTAGAGAGAGACATGGGGTCTCAGATGGTCTGAGAAGAGTCCTCATCCTTGAGAGTATTCTGAAGCTCTCTTCTCTCTGGAGTCGGCTGTATTCAGAAGACCTAGGAATGACTGAAGTGGCCATTTGCTGTATGCAGTAAAATTCAAAGGCTACACAAGCCAGATCCAACTGGAAATCTGCTTTTGTTTCCCCTCTCCTTCTGAGGGGCTCTAGCTTTATGGATTTTGAATTGGGATTGTTGGCTCCCTCCAGGAAGAGGATGTCCAGGAACAAGGTTAAGGTCAGCAGGGGGTTGACAGGGCATTCTTCTGAGCACCCTGAGCTTGGAGCCTTGGAAAAGGAGGAGGAGATGTCATTCCCTGTGCAAGGACTCAGCTCCTGATCTAGGTACTTGGAAAGTTTAGACCCATATGTACCTAGGGGATGGATCTAGAAGGTTGCCAGCCCAGCAACTTGACCTGCGGCAATGGAGTCAGGCAATCCCTTCTGCATGGTTGCACCCCATAGGTTACAGGGAACGTGTGGTACAGCTGAATCAGGGTCAGGATGAATTACTGCAAGACCTTATAAGGTGGAAAGAAGGGGTCAGGGCAAGTTGCTCTGATTTTTTTTGTGAAAAATATGTTTTTCTCCGAAATGAAAATATTTTGCTCACCAAAGTTACCTGCCTCTATGGGCCCTGCAATTTCGCAATCAGAGGGCAGTTCATTACCACCTTAGCTTTTCCTTTTTTAATTGACATCTTGTAATACATTTAATGATTAGCAAAGCAAGAGTACTTTTGGATACAGCTTCAGGGCTAGCTAGAAGTGGGTAAGAGACTAAAAGTTCCAATTAAATAATGGCTAAAACATGTCAGGTAAACTCATGTTGCTTTTCATAAGAAGGCTGAGATAATTTGCTTAAAATTTTAGTCTTGTGAAACTGACTTTTTTTGTGTTGATTTAGGATTTTTTTGGGGGGTGGGGCCTTGCATTTCAATCACTTATAAAAGGCTTTCTGATGGGGAAAATGTAGTCTGTTACATTAGTGTGAGGGATCACGTCTTTCCATTTTTAGCTGTCGTTGGCTGCAAAGTTCTTGTTACTACTGCCAGCTAATAGAGTTGCTTCTCTAGCTCAGCGGGTAGACGCATGTGCTGTCTAACTGCTCATCCTATCTAATTGCATCATTTCAGTCCCGGCTGACTGTCTAATCTAGCTGTATAAAGTAATTAAGTTGCCCCACCACCGAGCTGCTGGTGCTGAACATCAATGCCTGGTACTGCCGTGCAGTGGGCTTGTTCCTCAGGTGTAGCTCAGGCATTTACTGTCTCTTGAGCATACTCTGTGGGGATATTCATTGCTTCTGGCAGCGCTTAGGTATTTTATCTTGGCAAATTGTGTGTTTTAGTGTCTGTGAAAGAAGAATGTTCTCTAGATAATTCCGTTTGCGGATGTATTTAGGAATTGAAACTCAACTACAGTCAGTGGTGCTGCCCCTTAACAAACCAGGAAGGAAAAAAAAGAGATATTTTGGTTTATATTCTCAGCTCTGAAGGGTCAATGTGGTAGCTGAGAATCATCAAAGAACAGGAATGTGCCCCACACATACTTTGTTTTTTCACTGGGTGTGCTTCCCTGCCTGCTGTGCTGGGTGGCAATGGCTCCCGTTCTCGTCAGTCATGTGTTGCAGTGAATCCCCCACCCAGAAGTGGTTTTTCTTTGCCAGGCTGT